CTGGCCTCACGCTGTTCTCTCTGCAGGAGGCGCCGGCCGCACCGCGAGGGGCTCAATGCGACGGCCCTGGCGGCTGCGCAGCTCCGGCCCGACACCAGTTGGCTCCAGTTCCAGCTGGGCATCAGCCGCGATGGGCTCTACCCGCGCGGCAGCCCCGTGGTGGAGCGGCTCCTGCGCGACATGCAGGTCCTGAGCACTGTGAGCGCGGGTAAGGGCCCCTGGGGACACGACCAGCCCCACGTGGCAGCGGGAAAGGCGGGAATATCCCCATTTTCCTTATGGCTTCTCTTGCTGTCCTTGCAGACTACAGCCAGGACGAGAAGGCTCTGCTGGGAGCTTGCGACTGCGCCCAGAGTGAGTGAGCAYGCGGGGACCCGACGTGGTGCCGAGACCCCTGCCCCAGTGCGCGGAAATCCATGGCCCCTCCATAGCCCCCGCTTCCCACCCAGGAACCCTCTGGATCCTCCCGGCACCTCCGTCTGCCGCCCCAGGAGCGATGCAGACCGACGGGTTTTTCCTTTCTTGGAAGGGAAATAATTTGTCCCAACCCCAAAGATATAAGTAGTGCAATAAAGGCAGAATTGGGGAGCACTGCAGTGGGTTAGGGATGAAGGAAACATCTGGGAAGCGGCACCCTGGGGCTCCCTGGGCTGGCTCTTCCAGGTGGCCGATGGAGAGCAAATCCCATCGGAGCCGGGGCAGCACCCTGCAGGCATCCCCATCTYCTCCCACAGTTGTCAAGCCCAGTGGTGTCCACCTGAAGCTGGTCCTGAGGCTGCAGGACTTCGGCAAGGCCATGTTCAAGCCCATGAGGTGAGCGGGGCCCACGGGCAGCCGGGGCGGCCGCACGCCGGCCCTGACCCGCGCTCTCCTCCAGGCAGAAACGGGATGAGGAGACTCCCGAGGACGTCTTCTACTTCGTGGACTTCCAGAGGCACAACGCGGAGATCGCCGCCTTCCACCTGGACAGGTAYGGCGCCACCGCTCCGAACGGCCATGAATTTTACCCCCAGGTCTCCGTTTCCCTAAACTAAAGTAGGTGGCGAGTGGTGCAGAGGGGACTCTGAGCTGGGGAGAGGGCAGAGCTGGGCTCCCTTTCCACCCCTGCCCTGACTCCCTCGCGCCTGGAGCTYGGTCAGCTCAGCTCCCCATCCAACCTCCCCAGCTGACAACCTTCAGCTTTGCTCAAGCGCTCTATAGTCTTAAGAATTAAAAGATGCAAGATGAAAAAAAAATGTTTTTTTTTATTTAAATATTGCTCAATAAGTAATAGGGTAAACCCAGAAATCTGCTGGGAGGCCAGGCCTGCGAGTGGGGGCGATCCTCCTTTGCCTCCCTTGTGCAACGTTGCAAAGGGCCTGGAGGGCTGTTCTCCCTCCTGGAGGACGTAGTTTGCATGCGAAGGGTGCATGCAAGGACATGGGAGCAATTCTGGAGAAGAACATCCAGATTCTTCCAGGAGGCAGCTGTTAAAATACCACARTCCAAACTCAGCTTCCTTTTTGTCCAGAGCATAAAGCAATTTCTTTTCCCRTTAATAAGAAGTCTGGAGATGTTACATAGAGGGGAAAAAAGACCCACRGTTTGCAAATGGAAGGACAAGGGAGGTATCTGCTGTCCCCCATTGCCAGCAGGCACCTGAGCAGCTTTCCCTTCCATGCAGGATCCTGGATTTCCGGCGTGTTCCCCCCACCGTTGGCAGGTTAATCAACGTCACCAAGGAGATCCTGGAGGTCACCAAGAATGAAGTCCTGCAGAGCGTCTTCTTCGTCTCTCCAGGTAGGAGAGTGCTGGAGCCAGCCGAGGCTCCAGACATGTGATCCGCATGGAAAAAGGCCAGGCAGAGCTTGTGTAGAGGTACCAAAATGAAATTCCTGGTGGAAACAGATGCTCAGAGACACGGTTACAGCATCAGCATCTGTCTCACAGCTTCCCTTTGGGAAGTATCTGCCATAACTATCCGTTTGCCCTCTTTTCCTAGCCTCTCCCCTAGCACACATGTGGGTCTCTCCATTGACCAAAGTGCAGGTATCCACCACAATCTGGCAGTTCATGGTTACGTAATGGATGGAAAACTATATTCATCACAGAACAAATTCAGTGATCATCCCATGAAGAGGAAGAGGTCAGCCCATAGCACCCTCAAAAGCAGGGAACCTCTGCTCCAGAGCATCCACTGCGCTGGGACCACGGCCCGGGCTGGGGGCAATTTGGGACTGTCAAGACTTTTGCCACCTCCTGCAGACGGTGCTTCCTGCCCTCACTGTCCTGCTCTCCTCCCAGCCAGCAACGTGTGCTTCTTCGCCAAGTGCCCCTACATGTGCAAGACGGAGTACGCGGTGTGCGGGAACCCTCACCTCCTGGAAGGGTCCCTCTCTGCCTTCCTGCCCTCCCTCAACCTGGCGCCACGGCTCTCCATCCCAAACCCCTGGATCCGGTCCTACTCCTTTGATGGAAAAGAAGAGTAAGTGGGTAAATGTGGCCCATTCCCATGTCTGTGTTGCAAGGAGCGTGCGGGAAGGGGGACAAGCAGGACATGAATGATCATATAGCAAATGTCTGTCTGGGGGGATATATCTAGGGAGAGATTCTAGGACTGTCCATGCTTTGTCCCATTACGCCTAATGGGCTGAACTGTGGCTCAGAAAGCTGTTCAGAAACCCCTGCACTAACAGCATCCCTTTCTCCTCCTTGCGCAGGTGGGAAGTGAACCCGCTCTACTGCAACACRGTGAGGGAGATCTACCCCTACAGCAACAGCAACCGGCTGCTCAACATCATTGACATGGCCATATTCGACTTCCTAATAGGTAYGTTGGACCGTCCTTCGCGCCCACACTGCGGTGTTTCTCACAGGCACGTCAGCAGCGGTGTCATCTGCTGCAAATATTTCACATGGGTCTGAAGGAAAACACAGGGTGGGCCAGAAAGCCACTTGCAAGAGAAACACAGCTCCCCTCTACCCTTTGACAGGGAACATGGACCGTCACCACTACGAAATGTTCACCAAGTTTGGGGACGACGGCTTCCTTTTGCACCTGGACAACGCCAGAGGGTGAGGCTCCGCCGGGACGCCGGCAAGGGCAGGAGCACCGCGGGCACGACGTAAGCTCTGCACTCTCTGCTTACCCCTAGATTTGGGCGACATTCCCACGATGAAACCTCCATCCTGGCACCGCTCTCGCAGTGCTGCACGTGAGTGACGGCCTCATGGTCCCCCCTTCCCAGCGAGGGCYTGGCAGTTCTCCTGCTGGAAGCCCACATGGAACCACCTGGCAGCTCTCTGARAACCTTTAAAGGTTCCACCGAGAGACCAGGAAACACTGCCCATTGGGTCAGACCTTCAGGAAGAGTCTCCTGGCATCTCCCAGCCAGGGAGACATGAGGAGCTCTCAGACCCATTTGTCTGAGTGTGCCTGACAGGGAGCTCACAAATCTCCATCCAAAAAGGTTCTCTCCTGGGAGAACCTTGAGACAGTTAATCAGGTTTCCTCCTCTCATGGCATTAAGGAGAAGCTCATAAATTTTACYATTTGAACCCTATCTTGGCTACTCCTTTATTAATTCCCATAAATCAACAGCTGAAAGTTAAATTAAAGAGACAGAGAAAAAGCTGCTCTTCCCCGTGGTCTCTCTTTAGGAGATGTCTAACCTATTTCCTTGCTATTCCTGCTCCACCTAAGCCTTGGGAAGTTAATTGTGCTCTCTCCCCAAACATCTATGTGACTGAATCTAATTTTAAAAACTGTTATTTGCACCTAGTGTGACTTGTCGCTTATAATTGCATGCACCAAGTGAATCCTTCCGAYGAACTCCTGTTTTGTGTGGTTTAAATTAACTCTACATTTTAATTTGATCTGAACAGTAATATCCCCACAGGTCAAATCCTTCCTATTCTTCCAGATTCAACTACCAGGAGCAGTTCTTAATTTAGTTCTCCTTGTAGAAGGTAGTGCAAAGAAGACCTGCAAGTTACAGCTTTTAATAAGCCAACTAGGGCTGAAAACACTGTAAAAGCAACTCACTCCACTGGAGGGAGATGCGAAGAAACTCCCCTTCAAACAGACAATCCATCTGGAGTAAGGAAGCATCCAAAAACGCTAGGAAAGGAAGCGAARAGGTTTCCCTACGTAAGCACAGAAGTACAGATTTCAGCCTGTCCAGAGTCACCTACTCATTGCKAGGCAAAATCCAGCCAGGTACATCCAGCAGGAATAAAATCCTGCAGCAGAATGAAATCAAGGAGCTCTAAGGGCTCCTAAATTTCACCCATTAGGAGACTGAATTTCCTATTTAYGAGGAGACCTATAGGCAACTCCAGCCATGAGGGACCACTCAAAACAGGTGGATCTCAACAACTGACTACTCACTTCTCTATTAAATATGGTCAGCTTGTTCCCAGATGAATTATTCTGTGATTTTGGCTTCCAGCGGATTTAAGGCTTCTGATAAGGGCCTTGGATTACTGTCCATTACTGTCCCTGTCTCCTGTACCAGCCTTGGCTCTGCTGACATGGCAGAACCTGGAATAGTCTGGAGAAYTGGGTTATCAAACTCAGAGGAAAAACGACAGCCAGCGCTTGCCCAGCTACTGCAAGAAATGTGTATTAAGATGCCCAACCTCTCCTTTTTCCCCCCAGAATCAAGAGGACGACGCTGTCGCGGCTCCAGCTCCTGGCTCAGCCCGAGTACCGGCTCAGCGACGTCATGCGGGAATCGCTGCTGCAGGACCCCCTGGCACCCGTCCTCACCGAGCCCCATCTCTTGGCCCTGGACAGGCGGCTCCAGCTGGTCCTCAAAGCCGTGGGGAAATGCATAGACACGTATGGAGAAGGCAGGGTGGTGGCCAACGACACCACGCAGCCAGAGGCTCCCACGCCCGACAAGGTGAAGCTGAACGGTTAAAACTGTCCTYAGCCTCTGTTCCCTGGAAGGAAGACCCCTGCAAGGCAAGTGGAAAACGTTGCTAGCTGCCRCTTTCTGTCTACAAAAGCCTGCAAGACTGAGAGGGGAAACTCTTGGAAGATGGTCAAGGTTCACATGAGTTCCTGTGCTGGGCACTTGACCAGAACTCCCGTGTTTGGGATGAAGGGTGTGTGGGTCAGTGGTGGTCTGACTGTGGTGGTTCTCTGCCCCCAAAGAGCAGCTCTCCAGTGGGAAAGCAGAGGCCTCCTGCCCAGGAGGGTGGGGGGACACGCGGGCATTGGTTTAACCTGCTCAGGATCTTGGGCTCACTGGTGAAGGACACAAACTACATCTAAGGATGAGACTTGAATAAATAGATGCTAAGAGTATTTTCCTCTCAAGTCTGTGTTCTGTAGCCAACAGAGTGCACCTGAGCAAAGAGCAGCCCCACATCACGAGGGCAGCACCTGCAGCTTTGGGTCAGCAGTGTCCATGTGAGGAGCACCCACAGGGCTTTCCCCTGCCTTGCCCAGGCCCCCGGGTCTCTTCTCCAGCCTAAAGAACCAACCTGTCCCACACTTTGATCTGCACATGCAGCCCCCCGCCTCACAGGGCAGTAAAATTACTGTATTTTTGATCATTTTATACATGAAAGAACCAGTTTAGGCATAAGAGGAATGTAAGGGCATCACCTTGGATTTGCAAGTGCAGCCTTTTCAAAACAAAATCCCTAGAGAGCAGGGCTGCAATTACAGTTCAAGAAACCACCAACTTCCAGTGAAAACATCTTTACAGAGTGGGGTGGGTTCTAGCTCAGGTCATCTTCTCATAGCCTTTRAACTCAGTTAAGCTACTTGGGCTTTGCCCTTGGAAAGCAGAGCTGGATCTCACAAATACACACTTACACTCTGCACTTTAAGGGGATGCAATAGGGACTAACAAGCAAAGGACAGTGCAAGTTCAGAGACCTTTGAAATTATAATTTCCCTTCTTCCCAAGGACAAGGGTGGCTCGATTACTGAGGCTCTTTAATTGGTTTTTAACTGTGCAGGAACGATTGCACTGAGCTTTTTGGCAGCCTAGGGAAAGCATGAGAACTCTGTTGATAATTTATCATCCTTAAGGAAGAAAAGCAATCCATCTACAACAAGCCCATTCTAAACTAACCTTTAAGTTAAGCAAAACACCATCAACAGCACTGCAGCTCTCCAAGGAAAATCCCCAAACCGCAGCACAAAYGTTCCCAGGATGCCCAACCAAAGGCAGGCGCCGTTGACTGGTTCTCCGTGAGCTGCTTCATCTGCGCTGGCTCCTTTTCTTGCAGGTTGGAGTCTTGCCCAACCTAAAGAGACTTGGGTAACACTGGATCATACAAGAAGGCATGAAAGCTTCTTTGGCCACAGCTATCACTTTYCACGTGGGTCTCTAGTGTGGGTTAGAGCTATTGTGGTGGTGGATTCCCGTTGGCTGCCTGGCCAGGCACTGCAGAGCTGCAGAGCAGGCTGCAGCTGCAGTTTGAGCTTGGCCCTACGGGTCCCCACTCTGCTCTGGTTGGTGTTGGAGGAAATTTGAAATTGTTTCCACTTAGCAGAGATTCTTCCTGTGCTCTGGAGCAATGACCAGTAGTGAGAAGAAAAAAGAGGGGAAAAAAAATAGCTGATTTGTTTGGGCCTGATCTGTATTTTGCCATACCCTCCTAGCTGTCCTTCCTCCAGCTTTCATAAAAGCAGGTTTTAGGAGTCCAGTCATGTCTCCACATTGGTCACCTTAGAGAGCCCTGTGTCTCTCACTTTTCCTCCCCTCCTTCAATCAACAGAACTTTGGGAATTCCATGCCTGATACTGAAGTAACAGCCACATCTTGCATGCAATAAATGGCATTCCTATTATTTTAATCTATCCCCCCCTACTGGTGACTTTTATGAATTTCCATCTGTTTCTCACCACCTGCCCACCACAGGCCACTCCTGACTAAATCAGCACGCTCCAAACTTCCACCAGGGTTGTGCCCAGAGGGGAGCAGCCCCCTTGCACAAACCCGCGAGCTCCGGGGTTAGTGGCTGGGCCAGGAATTTGCAGCTTCCAGATCCAAGTACCACRAGTTGCCACCAAGAGACACCTACAGGTACCTGTTTTACCAGCGATTCCACCCAAAGCAGCAACACCCACCCAAGGACAGAGCTCCAAGGCTGCTCCAGAGGCTCCAGGGTTAACAACAAGCTAAATCCATTAAGCCACTTAGTTTCCTCCAGCTTATTAATAAATCATCCTCCAAGGCCAAAGGAAAACAAATTACAACAGGGATGAGGGGAGGAGAAAGAGAGGCTGGTTACATTTAAGAATTTAAATCATTTTATTGCTTTACCTGCCATTAGGACAATCTATAACAAAAGGAATATAATATAATATATTAGCACATACAGTAAATCAGACTTATATAGTCAGGTAACAATACAAAAATGGTCCTCTGGTTGACTCTAGCTTTCTAGGGCAATAGACTTTGTAAATTCGCTAAAGGTGGGCTAGCAAAACAGTTACTTCTAAAGCCCAAATGTTAGCTAAGGCAAAACTATGCCAATTGTGGTTTCAAACGTATTGAAATTGCACACAAAGGTAAAGCTATAACTGTGATTAATATTTAACTCAGACTTAGCTGATTTATCTTAAAATCTTGTAGGTAAAACTACAAAAGGGAGTAATCAGCAAGCTAAAAAGATGCAGTAGTGAAACTTGATTAGAAAGCCTTATTATAAAAAAATGTGCATTTTTTGTGGAGCTCTAACTAGTTCACAGAGTTTTTGGTGCTTTAAAGTAACATAAAGAACATGTGAAGAAAAAAATCTTGATAGTCAAAACTGAAGAAAATTGTTTCACAAAAAAAAGGAAAAAAAAGTAGCATTTGCTCATTCACTACAGGCTCTGGCTGAAATCCTCTACTCAACATTTTCAGAATAGAGAACTTGCACCATGTAAGCACTGAAATTCCACAAGTGGGATTTCATAGTCAGAAACACCCTAAAACCTTTCGTAAAGGCCTCACGTCCTCCGTGTTGTTTTGCATCAATTAGCAGACTCTCTTTAATCATCTACAAGCCTGAGAGGAAAAAAAACTGTTGAATTTGTATCAGTATCACCCTGGAAAAGAAAGCAAACAAGGGCTCCATTGTTAGAAGTCGTTGCACAACAAATGCAAAACTGCTTGCTGTCACTCCCAAATACAAACCTACACTACTTGATATAAATTACATTTTAAAGGAAACCCTAAAAATTGCCTATTGTTATTGAACYGTGGAATTCCGTAAAAACTTTGGGGAAGTATTGGTGCTCACAGAGTAATGCAACACAGAGCTGGGAAATACTTAAGGACATTTAAGACTCGGCAACATAYCGGACTTGGAAAAGAGAGCAAGGATGAAGTATCCGTGTCCTGTAAATTCGATTCGCAAGGAACAAATGCACCTTTGTATTTAGACTAGATTTATAATCAACAAGTTTAAAAATTATAAATTCATTGATTTAAAAAACATACTTAAAACAACTGCGTGTTGCTGCAAAGTTGTAACATTCACCTTTTCTGCCTCACATAATGGTGTCTAAATGCACCAGCAATAGCCTCCTCCAACAATTGATTCTGCTGGCCATAAATACTTAAATCTTTTYTTATGTGGTAGGAAAGGGTAAGCTGAACTGAAGCTCATTAAAAAAAATATCAACTGAGGAATATGCAAGCAGGAGTCACAGGGAAAACAAAACATATGCTTCCAATTTCTGCACCAATCTAGTATTTGACTATTAACACCAGCTGGATAGCTGTGCTATTCTTACACCAGTTTATGTACTAGAGACCACAGTTAGGCATTTAATGCAACATTTGGTTCTTGCCACTTTGAAGAGGAAAAATTTTAAATGGCAAATCTACAGCTGAATTTAAAAAAAAAATAGTTGTGGCAAGTCAGCAAATCAAGTAACAACTCCAGGAGATCACCAGAACTATAACCTTGAAAGCTTTGTTTGCTTTACACGTGACAAAAACGTAACCAAGCAATCTTAAACCAGCAGACACAGGAACAAAGATACTGTTAAATTCCAACTGTGGCTTTTCTTTAGCAGCTGATGCCTCATTGATTGAGCCCCAGGTTACAGTACCCCCAAAATTCAAAAGAACCCAAACCCCAAGAAATTCAGTTACAAGGACAGTTCTCAATTGAGGAGAAATACAGCAGATTATGACCATAGCCTTAAAATACGTCCAACAATTCGAGAAACACCTTAAAGTTTTCCCACTCTTACCTCCTTACTCTATGGCAATTGGCAAGATGTCAGGAGATCTCCCCCCTCACTAAAGCAAGGCTGCGTTTGCCAGAGTTGGACGCTATGTTGCACAGAGAGAAGCTGTAACAGCAAAATTCTCCATAGATTTTTTCCCTATTTATATAATGGGACAGAGAGCACAGAACTAATATGCTCTAAATTAAAAATAGTGCCATGAAAAGCCTTTTTTTTTTTTTCTTTCTTTTTAAAACGGACAGGAAGCTGCAAATGCCAGTGGTAACGTGGCTCTGCACGAGGGTAATAAAGCAGTCTGCATTTGTGAAGCGTGTTTGACAGCGAGGAGGATTTCAGACAGACAGTGATACAAAACTGTTGTACTGCTGGATGTTTCGTTTGAGAATATCCGAGCAGGGGCCCAGGACGCGTTCGAATCGGGGTCGGTCGAGCTTGACGCATTTCAACAGCCCTCGAGCAACAACCGTGGCAGCACGAGGACGGTTCATCAGCAGGGCTATTTCCCCTGTGGCAACAGGGAAAGGGAGAACAGCATTAGGAAATACAGCAAGAAACAACACAGAGCCAGAGGAATTACTCTGTTGGGCTTCAAACTGTTAAGAACTGAACATAAGGTAATAAGGTAATTCAAGATTTAATAACGATCACAACAAAAATCTATAGTTGTGCTATACACAATTGTGAAGCATTATTATGAAGTCACATAAACATGCCAGGAACTGTTTCAAATACCTACCTGGCAACTGCAACAACAAATTCRGAAATTAAATTTCTAACAAGCTTTTTTATCATCCATTTGTTGTAACAGTCACCCCTAGCATTCCTAGGAAGAAGAGTAAGAAAGGTCCAACATTAATTGTGGGGCGTTACTGTTTTTAAGCACTTGGGCTGAACATACTCATCTTCTGGACTGCAGAACTCATTCTGTGCCTTTCTGAGAATAAATCTCCTCTGCATGCTTTGTCAGAAGGGTTGTTTAAGAGAAAGGAGGAGAGACCTTTTTCCTCTGTGCCCAATTAAAACTCTTGAACTCACTGGTCTCCACAACACAGGGTGCAAGAGAATAAGTAGGTTCTAAGGGAAAACAAAACAAACCCTGGGAGACTGGTCTGCAGCATCTGAACGCAATGGAAGAGGCGACTTCCAGTTCAGGAGCAGGAAACTGAAAGGAACTTACCAAGGAAAAGGCTAGAGAAGGCTAACTTGGCACACATACAGTAAACATCAAGTCCTCAATGCTGCATTAAATGGATCTTTGGTCAGATCCAGTACTTTTACTGTACTCTTGAGCACATCCACACTCAGGCCTTGCAACAGAGTATTTATTTATTGCATCATCTGCAAAGCAGGAGCACTGAACAGCCAGCCAGAACACTTTYGCAAGAGCACAGCTCACATCTTCACTCCCTGTATCTTTCCCATCTTAAACTTGTTTTTTKGGKKTTTTTTTTTTTTTGGTTTATTTTGAGAGGCAGGCATTCAAGCACTAAATGACAGGATCTGAACAGCTGCTTTGAGCTCATTTTTTTAAAAGTTTGAGCCACTTCAGTATCCTGAATTAGTCAGGAATATCTCATTATATAGTGACATATTATTTATAATGATATATTACTCTTCAAGAAGGCTCTGCAGACATGCCTCTCCAGTCTTTTCGTGCAAGCCTGAATAAATCTGCACATCTTAAACACATGATTAGTTCCATGGGAAGATTATCTCAAAGCCTCCATGCATCAGTACTCGTATTTACTAAAAGCTGCACCCTGTTTTGGGTTCCCCACTACAAGGCGCTGACAGAACAGAGCAATTCCAACAGTGCCACTAAAGTCATTAGGGGCTGCAGGACAGGACGCACAAAAAGGTGATGAAAGAGCTGCACGAGTCAGACCAGCAGAGAAGGCTCTGATAGGGATCTTACAGTTGCCTGCAACTACCTAATGAGTGATTATAAGGATGGAACTAATCTGACCTCAGAGGGTGAGAAACAACATGTTGCAAAAAAGAAAATTCCTTAGGTCTAAGTAAAATATTGCTCATGATGAGAGCAGTCAATGAAAGTGATTGCGAGAYGTCCATCCTGAGAGACAAGGAGGACTGGAAGGGACGCATTCAAGCACCACCTGATAGAACTTCAAAGCTGGCCTTGGTTTGAGCAGAAGGTTTGGACTGAATCACCAAAGGGCCTTCCAGACAGAAAGTAATCCAAGACTAACACTTTTTTAATAACACGCACATAAACAGCTTAAAGCTCAATGCCTTGGATACCTACCCGAAGTTGAGCCAAACCATGAGAGTCAGCAGAAAAGCAATTAAGGAAACCCATCCCAAGACTATTAGCAACAGCAGCCACCAATACATTTAAGGTACATCAGTGGCAGTGATAACAGTGCTTACATAAAGCCCTATGCAACTCACCAAAATAATCAGAAGGTGCCAGTCTGCCCACTTCAACAAACTCTTCATTTTCTGATCGACGCTGTAACACTGCAGCTGTGCCCTTGAATAAATCACAAGAAATAAACAATTAGAGTTTCCAGGATCACTTGAAACACTGAATGCAATAAGGGATTAGCTATTTTGCAGAAATAACCCTTGTGATATCTCAATATTCAAAAACATTACACACTTCATGCATAAATCACTAGATTCTTCCATAAACATAGCTAAAAAAAACGTAAAGCATATTGAATATTTCCTTACTTACTCTATTAATTTCTTCCCACTTCTCTCTCTCACAATACTAAGGCTATGACAGTACAAATAGCAAAACAAAAAAAACAACAAAAAAAAAAAACAAAAAAACAAACAAACAAAAAAAAACCAACCACCAAACAAAAAACCTCACACATGGAATGAAACCCTAGCAAGACTGACTAGTTGCCTAGAATGGGTCTCTATTCTTTTGGAATAGGAAAAGCTGGTTTAAGCCAGAAATGCTACTTCTTCCGGGAATTGCCATTTGTAAAAATAGCAGAACTAAATATAAACTTCTGCATGTCCAGTAAGATTATTTTATTAGCAATTATTTAGAAGTACATTCTTAAATTTCATTTTTCTCCCCAGGCCTAGGGGCAGACTAAGCACTGTGAAACATCATTAAGTTTCCAAACCTTTTAATTTTGGCCTTTCTTACCTCCAGGATAATGAAGAACTCATCCCCTGGCTCTCCCTGGACCACAATCTTCTGCCCATCCTCAAACTGTACCGGTTCCAATGCATCAGCTACGGTGAGACGCTCCCACTTGTCCAAGGATTCTAGAGAGCCAACAATTCATTAACAGATTATCTCTGAGGCATAAAACACAGTTTTTTCTTCCCATATGGAAGTCAGCCTACTTTCTGTTTCCAGCAACATGTGCACAAATACCAAGAATTTGTTAGGAATTATCTTGGGATGACGCAGAAAAGCAATAGAGATTTTCCAGGCTGTTTAAACAATTTACCACAACAAGTAACAATAATGCTGTTATCCAGCATTATTATGCTAATTTAGCCCATTAAAAAAGCCTTCTCACTTACCCAGTATAGATACTTTACTAAGGAATTCCTCGTACATTTTTCTCTTTCTTAAAGTACTTCCCTGTTAAAAAAAMCACACACAAACACATAGCAAAGTAAGTTTTTCAAATGTCATGTTTGACATCAGCCTTTCATCTAAAATTCAAGGACAAAGAAATACAGTTTAACCAGACCTACTGCATCCTGTATCACATACTCTAATCCACAGGATCTCAAGGGCTTTCAAATTCCATTACTTAAGATTTCAGCAACCTTCACAAAGCACTTGAGCATTTGCCATGGCCCTGCTGTTTATGAAGTGCATTCTTACTGTATAACCTTACCAAATTCCCAGCACCTGCCCACGCTAGTTACAATTGTCATTCACACAGATTATTCACGTTAACAGGGTAAAATACAGAGCAGAACTGAAACGTCTGACAGAAGCTAACCAGCAAGTGTTATATTTGTAGTCCAATTTAACACTGCATTTGTAATGTTGTTCTGCTAACCCAAGCTTGGCCCCAACCCACCACTCATGGTGAACAGCAGGAATTATAATAAGTATCTCCAACAAGAGACAGGAGAAAAATCGAGTGAAGAGTAAAACCACAACCCGGGTTAGCCCAAGAGCTGCTTGAGTCAATGGCATCAGCCAGAAAAGCACGTACCATCAGGATCCTTCTGTAGCTGTCTCGGTCAATGCCCCACAGCTTCACGTTGGTCTTTGCTTTGACCGTGGCAGCTCGGGGGGTTCCATAGATTAGGGCGAGCTCTCCAAAGCTGCCACCTTCGCCAACACCAGTTGCCCATTCGTTGTTCACATAAACCTGAAAGGCAGTGTGTGGTGGTGAGCCCGAGCCCAAGGTGAGCTGRAAACACTGCAAAGATGCTGCCACCCCTTGCCTTTCCTGGAAGGGGAGAAATCCTAGCATCTGTACAGTCATAGAATCCTTAAGGTTGGAAGGGACCTCTACAGATCATCTAGTCCAACCTCCTTGCACACGTTTTACTACTACTGGCAAAGGGAGTCTTGTCTGCATCACACACAGAGAGGTTGTGCATGTGTGCCCAAGAAATCCTCGGATGAGAAATAAAATTCCATTATGAAAGTCTCTATGCAACATAGAACTAGAAGGACTTAAAAGACAYTGTCAGAAAAAAACAGAAAACTATGAATGTTTTGATGCCGAAAGTCTATCCCACACAACTTGTTTCAGCCCTTCACTTGCAAAGCATTAATATTCTGTTTGTGTTCAAATCATTCATTTTGAAACTCTGTGCAACCCTGTGCAGCCAGAGTGGTCAATAAGCAGAAGCTAAAGGAGCTGAAAAACTAAATTTCTACAAGCAAGAACTTATGAGGCAATCAGCTAAGGAAGATCTGGAGTGCTTACATCCATTTCTCCTTGATCAACAACATAGAAGTTGTCACCTTCATCACCTAAAAAGAGAGAAAAAAATCAAAAACTTAATACATACAAAGGAGAGCATTTATCCAAATATTTATGTTTTACAAAATTAGCATCTACATCAACTTTGGTATTTGTAATATAATATGATTGTCAAAGACAAACTTTGCACTGCTTGCAGAAAGCATCCATGAGGCCAGCATCTTTCAGRCAGATATATACAGAGAAACCACAAATGCCTACAAGGGCTCCAATCCTCACACTCGAGTGTGAGCAGTGCTTCACATAACATGGCAAGAAAGGGCAACTGGCTCCAGACAGTGCTTTTATTTCCAGAGCAGGATACTAACAAGAGCACTAGGTCACAGCTTGCTCACCAGCTCTGTCCCTGCCACTCACCTTGCTGTATCACGGTCTCGCCTGCAATGTAGGTGACGGGGAACATCGCATCAAAGATGTCACTGAAAGAAGGATATCAAAATTAGACACCTGCTTGGGCACCTGCCATGCACAYAGGCCTTCATACACATATCTGCAATCTGCAAATAAATACTTTTCCTATAGCCTCTGTCTGCTTAAAACAGCTCTAAGGAGGCTGTGCAGCTTTGGACATTATGACACACAGAGCTCTTCTGAAGTCTGCACTTTGTGGGGTACTTTAAGACTAAAGGCCCATTCCTACCTTCTCTCATTATCATCAAGATGGGCAAAGAGCACATTCTTCTCAATAGCTTTTGCCAAAGCAGCCATAGTCTTATAATCCTTTGGAATAACCTAGGACATAAACAAAAAAGTAACAGGTATAAATTTGGAGAAAGATTGCTCCATTCCCCACACCAAATAAATTACTCAAATTGCCACAAAACACTAGGTAACACTTTCCAGTTTTGGAGCACTATTAATCCAAAACCAAGCATAGGCAATGTTTTACAATGGGCTACTGAAAGTAAAAYCTGGTATTATTTTATGCAACTTTGAAAATATCATTCCAAGGTAAGTTTGTAATTTTTTTTTCCCCAGTAAAGTGCCAGTATCTGTTCAACCCGTATTTCCCTATGAGTAGTGGCAAATTTGCTCAGCCATTAGGCTAAGGATGATGTTGTTGCACCTATGAGATAAACAGAAACACCTTGTTTTATAAATYTTATATGTGTGTATGTTTATATATATTTACAAGTGCAAGTTATGCAAAAACAGTTTAAGGTCATGATAGTTCTTTGATCTCTTAAGAGCTACACACACAGGCCTGCTGTCTACAGCTGCACAAGCCATACAGGCTTAATGTTATTTATTTTTAGACAAACTCTTTGATTATAGACATGGTTTTTATGAAGAGTTGAGATGCAGTTGAGACCTTTCTAACGTAAGACGCGGCATCCTCTTCTGTATAGACCTCTGCACTGATGGCCCCACGCCTTCTTCGGCCCTTAACCACGGGGTTCATAGGAGGAGGAGGAGAGATTTCATCCTCCCGGGAGTCCGAGCGCGAACCAGACTTCTGTTGATTCAACAACTGTTTTGTTTCCTCCTAAACAGGAAGGAAGGGATGTCCGTGTCACGAAAGCCAGGAAAGTGAGAACAGGCACATATCACATTGCAATTCAGCCTGCCAGTGCAAAGGAGCTTCCTGTGTACAGATACACCCACAGCAATGCGAACGGGTGACTACAGCAGTCCAGATCAAAGGCCTTTAAAAGCAGATAAGCCTTTCATAACATTCATACCCATTGATATTTATCAAGTTACATTAACAACTGAATTAATTAGAAGTACAAACACTTTCCATTAGTGTATTCAACAGGCAAAGAAAATTCTATAGATGACCAAGACTCTGATGTGCTTCCCCTCAGCTGGGAGGTGTTAAGCCTTCACCATTTGAAAGACAGAAGAGCAATTCCTCAGAAATCCTTGCTGTATGAGAAGCTTTCCAAACAAGGTCAAGTCATGAACCAACTAGATATTTAATAACCATCAGTTATTTTAGGAGAAAGAAATATGAACGTTGTTTACTAGAGCACTGTAGAAAGGACGCTMGAGGCCAAACAGTTTATGGCCAAGCCAGACTTGTCAACGTCACACAATGTTACCCTTTTTCAGTATTTCTCTCAATTACCCTCCGTGTCGTGTTCCTACTAACATTATAAAAGACTGGTGTGCTTGCAGTAAAACCAAGTCTAGTTAACTTCACTCACAGAAGTTTTGTTCTTCTGCATTCCTGGAGCTTCACCTTCCTTAAGGCTTTGTCATTAAAAATAAACCAAAAAACCTGGTGCCAAAGCCCTTGAATCATGACARCTAAGATCCATTTCTCCCAGCGTTATGGGAAGAGGGTTTGGGACATGCCCTAAAAGAAAAGGAATGATGTCTTGCAGGAGAACTCCCAGCACYTTCAAGAGCTGGTTTTGTCCTCGTGTCCTTGATCAAAGCGTTCCCTGCCCTGTGGGCAGCAGGCTGCTTGGCTGCCACACTCCGCTCCGGAGATACGGAGACGTTGTGTGCAACAGGAAAGAGTGTTTGAGGAAGGGGACGTCAGACAAGCGCGCTACCACGGGCTCGCATTTTACGCTTCTCAGATAGCCCAAGGAAGCTGCCCTGCTAGGGTGAATTATGTTTCACTTCCTGATTCTCGGCCATTAATAAAATAGTGCTACATTTCAAAATGATGGAGGTAAGAGGTATTTAAAGCCTTATTGCTCTTTTTTTTCCTCCATTCACAGGCTTCTTCACACAACTGACATAAAATAACATTATTTTAAGTGAACATCAGCTGCTCTATTTGTTCCAAGATTAAATAAAATATAAAAAAACTGTTCATAATTATGTCAACTTGAAAGACAGAAGCACTTTAGTGACATTTAGCTAGGGAGCTGGGTACCAAAGAGGAGTGCTCAGCAAGAGACTCCAAGGGGGTCCATTCAAGTAACAGAAATTTACTGAAAGTAAAAGCACAGCTGGTAACACCTGGGATCTAGCTAAAAAAACACCATCACAGATGCACATTAAGGCAGGACATGGATACATGCTACAGGTGGCTAAGCTGGGATATTAACTTGCAATATACCAGCTATCCTAAAGAGATACATAGGAGGAAAACACTCTGAGTGAGAGAGATAAGCAAAGGTGTTGATCAAACCTAACTGTAGTTTTCTATTAAAACTATTGCGCACAAAACCAAATTATATACAGAATTTCAAAAGTATATCTATTGCAGTGGACAGCCATGGCAATATCTAATACTTATCTTGCAGGCTGTAATARTGATCTCTACATTAAGTTTCTGCAGCTGAAACCAAATTATGTAGCCAAGCACAGCACCACAGAGCTRTTAAGTTTTAGCATGCACTGATGTTACCAACTATCTTCCACAGCAAGAACAGAGGCCTTAGCCTTCCACAAATAGGAAAAAAACAAGAACATTTATACAATCAATGCAGAGTAATCAAACTCACGTGAAAGCTTTCATAAAGCTCAGGAGAGGGCACAGCTGAATCACTAAAGGAGCTATAACTGCTTCAGAGGCAGCAATTTTAGTGTTTCTGAACATAAATCCAGAAGCATTTTTAAATATGCTCAACACATTTTAATAACAAGGCATAGTGAGTCATCACTGTGTGTGTGTTTTGTGGAGAGATGACCTGCCACGATAACTAGAGAAAAACAACCAAGCTTCAGTTTTAAATTATGTTCCTTCAAAATTCAGTCCTAAAATGAGAATACAGGCCCAGTCTCACCCAGTGGAACCGATGGAGCAGGTTATTGAAAAGCAGTTTTGCTTCATTACAGGTTTAACAGACACCATCCCTGGTTGCTGAAAGAGACAATTCCCTTTTCAAATATTTCTTTTCCTCAACCAGAGCTAAGCTCCAGGGTAGAACTGGTTAACAACACCACCTAGCATTTGTGCTTTGCAGACACAGATATCAAAGTTTGCTCCCATAACACAGGCATCCACAGCTCTTATTTGATGGATACTAAGGTATTATCTCAACCAGCTAAACTAAAGCCAATCCATYAGGCTGAATGGTGAAATACCCTTAAAAAAGCAAGACGCAGCCATTTTCAAATTCCAAAAGGTAAGAAGAACACAATGCTTTCCTTTCTAGGCACAACTGCACTAACTCATCTAGGGCAACACATTTGATAATGAAAGATCTTGACCAAAACTACAGGAGTAATTTACGGGTGAAAAGAGGCACCACATAATTTTTGCTTTTTCAGCCTTCAGCTTGCTGGCTGACAGAGCACTCAGTCATTTGCATCAGAACAAAAATACTACTAGTTATTAAAGTCTGAAATACACATRATCGAGTTCTGAACTAGGTTCGTTCTCTTACTAAAAATACACCAAGTTTCAAGATGAAATATTCCATGTTGCATGTCAGGCTCACCAAAAGGAAATATCTGACTATTCCCACTCCAAACTCACACATGATAAGGCTAAAAATTTATTCCACGTGCAGAAATGTGCAGGCAATTTACCTTGATAATTATTGAAATAGTAACAGCACAAATGTTGGCAATCTATTAGTACTTCAAAATTTGAAGAAACCAAGCTAGGAAAGAATGCAGCACAATGGGAAGGGGCAATGATTTCAAAAATTTGATTTCTACCTGGCTTGCTGCTGATATTCTGAAATAACTTATTCAGGTCATCACCGAAAGGAGGAGAAAAAAAGAAAAAAAAAAAAAGGAAGAGGAAGAGGCTACAAAAGGTCAATCTACAGCATCTGCTCATTTCTATCCCGGTATCTAGCACGAACCATTTCCTTACAAAACAATTCTCACTACCCATACTTGTAATTTCTGTTAACATCTACCTAGAAAGGCAGGCAAACACACACCTGACATAAGGCAAGTAATGAAAGAAATACCTACAAGGGACTGCTGTATAATGGTACAGTTACAGTAGTTCTGTCTAATCTTTCCTCTGTGTTAGTCTTTCAATTCCTCACACCTTCACAACAGCTGCTTTTCTTGTCTGTTAGATATTCTGTAAGTTAAAAATTAATTGTCTAAGGGAACACAAAATCATTGTTTCAAATGCAAGCATTGAGATGCCTATCGTATATCGGCAAACCACCTTCCATCCTCAAGATCTGAGGACACTTCTACCAATTTCAATGGAAAGAAAAAAAAAAATAAAGTCAAAGACACCTTGAAAGCAAATGCAGCAGGAACAACAAAGAAAGAAAAACCACCAAACTGAGCTCTTGGAAGAAGCTTTCCCTTAGTTCCAATTTCAAACAACCAATATGAACGCTGGTCGTATTTGAAGGTCAGCCTCTCAAATCCCACAGAGAAATTGTAAATTGAGGTTGTTCCGTTCTCCTTCCCTCACAGCACTTATTTTTACCTTCTCCAGCCTTTCAAAGTATTCCCTGAGGAATCCCATGGGTCTTTCAGGCCGCACRGTGCACAGCTGCACGATGCAATCCTTCAGCAGTTGCTGGATGTTGTGTTTTTGGACATAGAGTTCACATTCTCGAAGGCTACGCTCCTCCTCGCTGCTGCTGCTGCTGGAAGCTGCCATCGCTGAAGGGAAAAAGAGAAGGTTAAATAAACCAGTGGGATGAAGATGCTGCTGCCTGATACAATCAGGCATGTCAGCGGGCCTAAAAAAGAAAATTTAGGATGGATTGTCATTTTAATATCATAGCACAAACCCATCTCTTATCTGTAAGGCCACTAACCAAGCTAAACTGTGAGAGAAAAAGCTATGAACTTTCTCTGAAGTTCCAACTGTTTCTGAAGTTTCACTGAACAGTGAGAGACATTAAATCCTAGAGTTTGGTCTTCGGCTTACCAGGGCTATGGAAAAGCTTACTTAGTGTGAGGAAAGCAATTAGCAGTTGGGATGCTTTACAGACTAGTCCACAGACCCAAGCATCTGATGGAGCTGGAAAGGCCTCAACAATTTATGCTCTGTGAGCACTCACAGTCAGGGAATGAGATGCTTATCAGTGATGTTTCCAGCTCAGCTCTCTGCTGATTAAGCTTAAGATTTCACAGAGGGGAACTTCACTTCATAGGCAGAGCTGTGTGCTCTATAGGGCCAGGGATTTGACAACCAAAAGACAGGTAAAAGCTGGGAATTAGAAAGGCGAATATTCAGAGCAACAGAAACATTAAGGARGAATCAAAGGCAGCTCCCCAAACACCCAGGCAGTGTCCACTAAAAGAAGCTATGGAACTAGAGGTGTTTCTCCTAAAAAGCTTCTCTAAATTGCAGTGTATTCACCAAAATAGATGTGAAGCATGGGCCAGGGTCCCCAGATATATCTCCAGTGGTTCATAAGCAAGACTATGTATTTAAACATGCATTTTTAATGCCAAATTTTCAAGAAACTTTATTGCATCAGCAGCAAAAACATTAAAAAAAAAGCTTAAACAGTCCCTTTTTCTCTTTCAGAGGATAAAATCATRATGCATATGTGTATATATACACGCATACATATATATTTATATACACAGAAATCCATTTTAATCATTTTTCTTCTTAAAACAGTCAACACTGAGATGGTTAAAGAAGCAGGCAAGAATTTCTCAGGGCGTTTTCAATGAAACATAAATCAAGTTACCTGGAACAAGGGTGGTGGCAACAGCTACAAACAAGCAGCAAGATGGCTCGATCCCAGGATCAGCTTTTAAAAGGTGAAAAGAAAGAAAAACGAGATAAAATAAGCCCAGGAGATGACAAGCCACTGAAGAACCAAGCAGCCCGGCCACGCTGTCCATTTTTACCCTATTTAGGCAGCAGGCAGGGCCTCGCAGGCCGTGTAACGTTGCGCCCCTCCGAGTTATGCTGCGGGAGATTACAGGAGACCTGGAGTTAATGCGAAATTGCCAACACTTCAAAGAGGCTTCATTCCTGCCCCAGCTAATCCCTCCCGAAGCACGCCCGGCCATAGCTGCATTATGTGCTCTGCACACACCAAGTATGGGGCTCACGGGGCCCGAACGCTGCCTTGGAGCTCTCCAGTTACTCCTTTTGTTTTGGCAGCTCGCACGGCGAAGGTCAGCGCTAATGAGCAGCCCCGGAGGGACCCGGGGGCTCCACCACAGCCTGCAAGTTGCAGTCGAGAAAACCACAGGGACAATAAAATGGAGCCCGGCGCCTGACGAAGGGCACCACCGCTGASAGGGAGCGGGCGGGAGCTGCTGCAGCTCGTGCGATGGGCAAGACGGGCRCCAAATAAGCGCAACCCCCCGGATAGGGGTTTACGGAAAAAAAAACGTTCCCACAAACGCGCTATTTTCGCAGGGTGATTTCACCTCCACAAAGTGTTTTCACAGGGCGATTTTTCCTCCGTTTCAGGACCTAATATTTCCGCAGAAACTGCYCCCCTTGCCCCCGACCACCCTCCCCAGGCCCCGGCCGGGCCCCGGGGAGCCCCGCGCAGGGCCCGGCGGGGAGGGGAAGCGGGCGGGCGGCCTCGCCTGGCGCCTCGGCCCCGCGCGGTGCCGCGGCCGGGCCGCCCCTGCGCTCCGGGCCGCTCCGCTCCGCTCCGGTCCGGGCCGGGCCGCTCCGCTCCGCTCCGGCCTCACTCACCGCGGCCGCTCCGCGCGCCCCTCCCGCCTCGGGCTCCGGCCTCGGCGACAGCGGCAACGGCGGCTCCCACCGGAAACCAGCCGCTCCAGCCAATGGCCGCGCCGCGTGACGTCAATGCGCCTCGCTCTCGCCCGGAGCCGTCGCCGCGGTAACCTTAAAGGGGCAAGCGCCGAGAGAGGAAGGCGGGAGGCGCGGCCGCCCCACTTAAAGCGGCTGCACGCGGAGGCGCCGGCCCCTCCCATCCCGGAACAGGGGTGGGGCCACCGGCGCTTAAGAGGGCAACGCTCGCCCAGCGCCGCTTTAAGGCAAAGCGGCGGCGCCTACGCCTTTAAGGGGYGCGAGCTGCCCTTAAAGGGGCCGCGCGCGGGGCGGCTGAGGGGAGTTAGGCCGCGCAGGGGACAGGGAAAGGGAAGYGTGCAAGCCTCAGTAAACAGGTCTCGTCTTCCACTAGCACACGGCACAYTTGCGATAAACCAGCAGGCTTCAATACAGTGAAACTCAGGCCTTACACTGTAAAAAGGAAATGAGATTGGGGGTTCTACCTTAGGCAGCAGCTGCCACCTGCATCAGAGGTGCTTTTATGTGGCAAAATGACCAAAAATCACCTAAATGCCCCAGACTGGCGAGGCCTGTTGTGCCCGGCCATGCAGGGAATCATGAGCTGGTAGTGTGTCCTCCCTTAGGGGTGAATCAGCAGCCAAGGTCTGCAGTTTTCCAACCCCGAGCCAAAAATGGGTGTTTTCACCAAAAATCCATCCCACCTGGGCAGCAATCTCAAGGAATCCTCCATTKTGGTGATGTGTCCCCAGAGCGCGGGGCAGCCACAGGCAGTGCCGCATCCACCCGCTCCTGAAGCGACGTGTTGAAGCACCAGGCGGAATTTGAAAACTACCAGGAGCTTCTCCACATTGGGGGAAAAATATAACTAAATACAAATAAACCCCCCAAAATCACCCAACACGCGAGCCCACTGTGGCCACGTGCAAAGACCAAAACCTGCTGTTGGGCCTGAGTGACAGTCAAGCCCAAGCCTTAACTGCCGCGTTAAGCACTAAACACTAAGCACTAAACATTCCTAAGTCAATAACGCTCGTTACCCTCAGCACCATTCCCGCAACTTTCATTCCCGCAGTTTCTCATGAGGGAAGCGGTTGCCTCAGGCTGCCAGGAGCTCCTGGCCATGGCTCCGCGGAGCAGCCCCATCTCTCGCTGCTCGTGCTCGATAAGAACATCACAGGGCAGAGACGCTGCTTTTATAACTTGCTTTTCTTTTATAACCTGCGTTTAGGTGAACCTAGGAGGAGGTTGTCGTTTCCAAGCCCAGTGGCAACTGCCAAGGATGGTTGGCAACATCCATCCCTTGTCCTCAGCGGTGGGGCATTCAGCTTCCTCGTCTTCTTGATTTTAGCACATTCATTTCTCCCATTTTTTAAACCAAGAAACATTGCCTGAGGTAGGATATTTCTAGGCAGATAACAGAATTCTGTGAGAATGCAGCAAAGGCCAATGTCRCAGGCCAAATTCTTTCTGGGGTAGAGTCCACAGAAACAGCTAATTGTGACAAGCCTCGAGTTGGGTTCACACAGTAGCWACATTTCCCTCATGCTCCCTTAAAGCAGGAGACAAGGTGACAGGTATTGCAGATGTGTTGCAATCCTTGGTCCAGRACATCCAAAGATATTTAGGTCCCTGAAAGTCAAGTGCTGGTTACCTAAGTACCTTGGGGTGTCTAGTCCAACATGTCCATTCATTTTTGTTAACTACTGTTAGGTTTGTGTATCTGGTCCACTTTTGTTTCAGCCTTTATAAGAAGGGGTTCAGCAGCACTATTTAAGGGTTAGAAACATCACCCTATCCCAAAATCATCACAATTCTTTCATGAACTGAGTGACAACATCACCATTCTTAGGCACCTGGTTCATCTCCATTCTACATTTAAGTCATGCAGGATATTCTTGGTTTCATGAAAGACCGATAAATTTGCCTTTAAAAGCATSTGAAATATTCTCCCAGGAATAACTGCGGGCAGTGACTGGGAAGGCCAAGGAAGAGACAGTTGTGCAAGTCAAGAGGAGTCCTCTGCTGTGTGGATAGAGGAGAGAGAAAAGGATCCCCATAGGTATTTTGGAGACAACAGAATTCGCAGGGCCGCTGGGCATCTGGAGTGCTGCACAGTAATTACAGAGGCAGGTTTTTCTACTAAAGATACTGTCCTAGCCTAGCATCATTTTCTGTCCATGCAGAACCACCATCTCAGACGAGCCACAGTGGTTAAAAGCGCGAGCTGAACACAGCACTTTACATGTTAAATCACGTCAATCCATCACCCTGAATATACAACCCACACYTACCAGAAATCAGTCAGTGGAAGAAAAATCCATGAGCTCAGGGCGGCAAGCTCACAAGCAGAATTTATGCTGTGTACCCTGAGCATATTTCTAGTAATTTTGTTCAAGCTTTAACTAGCAGAGACTCTAACTGTCTATTGCTGCTGCACATCACGTCCCACAGAGACAGTATGGTGTGATCATACGCAGACGCATAGATTAGCTGCCAAAAAGGCAGAAAAAAACATTAGGCAGTTTAGCATAGATTACTTGGTGAGGGCTCCTGGGTTTCATGCCAGACTCTGGACTTGACTCTCTCTGTGAACTCAGCAGCTTTCAGCACGATGCTGCAGTTTACACRAAGTGTGCACAGAGAGAAAAACTGTGCCTGCCGCACACTGCACGGCAGTGCAAATATTTGCCATGTAGTTTGAGCCTCCGGGTGAGACTAAGCGTAAAGAAATCTGGTATCAACATCTGTAATTCTGCCACATGAAAGAATAATTTAGGTGATAAAGGAAGACAGCAAAGAGTCGGTATGGGCAATAATCAAACCATCTGACAGATACTGCCTGGCCTTCCCACCACAACTTGTGCCATAAGTTAAAATATCTGGATTAAATACCCGGCTAAAATATCTAATGTTTGGGCCCTGAGAATATGGTGCATGGAAGCCCATGTTGGTCCTGCCACACATCAATGGGGCAGACAGCTGTGTGAAAGCGTCCCCAGAGCAGAACGGGTTTGCTTTGAGCAGCAGATCTCAAATCATTTCCATATGCTGCTTTGAAGAAGAAAAGGACTGGTAAGTCTCAAAGAGAGTAACCGAGAGCCAAGAAACAATGCCCTGAAGTGCCCAGATCTTAAAGATAGGCCAGCCGGGGAATCCACTTACATCTGCAAGACGTGCCTGCTCCAACACGGCCCTCCCCACRCTCAGCGTGGTTCCCAGAGGAAAGCTTCCAACTCCCAAGGAGCAACGCTGGGAACATTTTGCCTCCGGAGGAACTACAGAGCAAGCCCATAGCGTGAGGCCATGCAGCCGGTTATCTATGGTCCATCAYGGAGCTCTCCTGTATTTACTCAAGGAAGAGCCCAATGGCACTTTGAAAAAGACACGATGCCCCGAGCAAATTCTAGCATGGATATTTGCCCCCAGCTGCCACTTAGCCATCTGTTTCGGCTGAACTCAACGTTCTTCCTTTCTTCTGACCTAAGAAGAGAGGGAAGAGCTCCACAAGCACCTTTCCTAGACCTAAAGACCCAGTCCTGATAGTATTTATTATCAGCATTCTGCTTAGATAYCTGTGCATGAGTCCAAAGGACTTCAGGAAACTGAGTGGGAACAGGAATAAATGCAGAGGGTTCTGGATGCAGGTTGAAACTCTGGGCTGCCTCTGCATTCGTGCACAAAAGACTCTCTGGAGACCAGTCCTCAGGGAGAGGAAAGGAGATAGGAGAGCAGCAGGTCTTTGCCACTGCCCGCAGTTTGTATGCAAACCTTCTTTGTTTCACGCCGTTGACTTTACACAACCTCTGGGCAGCTCCAGCAGTTCATGAACTGCCCTGGCATCTGCAAATGTGAATCTTCTGACTCGTAAGATCTCTCTGACGCAAACTGATTTTAAAGAGCAATGAGACAGTGTGCAGCTACTGTTGACTTCTTTTCCGGGAACACATGTGAAATACAATCAGTGTTTGTTTTGCAACAGAATGTAAATACTTTCATTGAAAAGTAGCCTAAGTTCCCTGGCTTTTAACATACTGGCAGTCTGGGAAAAGCCGCTTCTTAGAGCATCATCTGTGACATAGTTCTGTTGCAAGTTAAATAGACACATAAAAGCAGTCAAAAAAAAGCCATTTACTTGTGTGCTCATCTCTGAAAGCAGGTGGTGAAGTAAACACGTCACTCAGATCCACTATTCTTGGTCTGGACCGACATCCAACAAACTGGCTGGAGAATCAAGTGATTTCTGATGCAAGTTTGTGTTCCCCTCCTCCCCTACACACTGCTTCTCCCTCAAGATAATAGAACATTTTCCCAGATGGACRGGACCCACTTTAAAAACAAAAGGTCTTTGAAATGTCAGAGTTTTCCTTGGGGTGTGCTGTCTGTTGCATCAATGCAATATAGGCTTTCAGTCTCATGCTGTAACCCTTGAATGTGAAACAGCAAGATACTAGGAGATAGATATTAGCTCTTGCTTGCTGCTGCGCTGCCATTTCCCACCTCTCATGTGGCAAGTCACGTAGCCTCCCTTTGTCTCAGCTTCCCATCAGCAGGATAAGGATGAAAGCTTTCTAGGCTGAGGTCAAGAGCAAAGTTTGAGATGTTCATGTGCTCCAGTAATGGGAATCACTATTTAAATTACTTGAAAAAGTTATTTTTTTAAGCCAGAAAGATCCCAATTCAGCATGCTTTGTGAAAGAAGTCAAGAAGTGGCACCGACACGAACGCCGAGGTTATTGCTAGCAATATCTAACGTTACCTTGGCCTTGGGCTCACTCCAGTCCCATACACAGCGTATGGGCCTTCCTGCGTTCTCTGTTTGAATGAGAACCAAGTTTTTGCAGCGGAGAGGGTATTTATTATACTAATATTCTGTTTCATTTCTCCTCAAAGCCCTTCCTCTAGCAGGAAAGGGTAGATAGCCAACAAGGAGCTTGGAGGAGCCTGCCCTGCTGGCTGTTASCCCTCCACAGTGCCACCAAGGAGAGCTGCTTCTGCCGTCCAGTCACACACCGGGCTGTGCAGGGACTCGTCCTTCCCACCGCCAGGTCCTCTGCGTGGTTCCAGTCTCCCTCTCACCACRTCGGGTTGTTCTGATCTCTCACATCAGAACATTCTTTGATCTTTAGGTAATTACAAAGGACTTGCAATTAGTGCTGCATCTCAAATGCAAAAATGTCTCTCTCCTCCCTCCCAGCTTTAATCCCTCTGCTCTCCGTGATGCAGGTCTGTGGTTCTTAGCTGAAGAGACCGACTGCAAAGACCTGAAGGACTCCCAAGTGCCTCAAGGAGGCAGCAAGATCAGCCACTTCAGCTGGAACAATGTCTGGGAGCTGCACTGCRGAGCAACCCCTGAATGTCTCCAGTGAGCTGATCTGGTACCAGGGTAAGCGTGATCTCTAATCCTGGTCAAGGAAATGGGATGTTTGCCAGAGCAAGAGCGACAAGATAAGGAGCATTAATCCAGCCTGGGAGGAAACGCGACATTCGTTTGCAAGCTCTTCCYTGACCTTGGCAAGCTCTTCTGAGAGGGCTGCTCGCAAACAACAGCTTGTTAAGTGGCAGCATCTGGCTCAGAGTCAGCATCAAAAACTGAAGAGAAAAGACTAATTGGAGCAAATCTCCAAACTTCAGTGACATTCAGGCTGGCTGGGGGATGAGATGCTGCTCGACTCGTGCCTTGCCGTCACCCAGAGGGATGCAGTGCCAGCAGATGACTCTCGAGGKCTCAGTGCATCTTTCGTGGGGTCTGCACCCAAACAGAGCACACTGAGCCCGTGTGTGTACACCCAGCACACACATACACGCTGCCACCGTGCAGCTCACGCTGCCACCGTGCAGCCTGTTGTCCCACCATCTGCTGCATCGRTGTCTGTCTGGCCAAATTAGCAAGAAAAGGCAGTCTACTGGTAACTGTCACAAACACGTCCTGTCCAGTGCCTTTTATTTTCCCTGCTGCCTCCAAGCTTTTCAGAGGTGGTTCCCGCATAAGCAGACTCAGGATGATATGAATGGAGGTCAGGAGACGTGGGGCTTTCAGGTAACAGCTCCATGAGCAAGACCTTCCCAGTCCTACCCTCAAAGCCATCAAGCACCTTCTATAATCCTGTGACAAAGGTCCTTGCACATAGATTAAGAGCTAGGAGAGCAGGGTAGCTCTGATACAGGTGGTCACAGCTCCAGGGGTGGCAGTTTGGACAGGAGCATGACAGGAACATTCATCTTCAGCAAATGAAACTCKAGTTGTTGCAGCTTCACTGCTAGTATCCAAACCAGCTGGGCTGCAATCTCTTAAGCACATATTTAGTTGCAGTCCTAACACACTAGGGCATCACTCTGGGGTCTCTTATCTTAGCAACAGAATCAGATTTGTTTGGAAATAAGAATCTCTCCCCAATTAYTTAACGAAGGAAGAGAGATTTTGTGTCCTGATGGTCGAAATAGGAGGAGCAGTTCCAAACTGTTCTTATCCTATATTCTCAAATGCCATTTTCTAAATTAAGCATTCCTGTTGCTGGGAGAGAGGCTGTCACAGAAGAGACAGACAGATCGCGCCATCTGACTGCTATTCAACATACATTCAACATGCATGGTCGTCATGTGCAGCGGGACTTGGGGCACCAGATGGCAGCATTTAGTGCCTAGAGATGCCGGAGCAGCCGGTGCTGACAGTTCAGGACTCGYCTCTTCAGGCTGCTGAAGTGCCTGAAGACTAGGCTGAAATCTTTCTTCCTCCTCTGCCTTGATCATGATACCACTGGGCTAGAATAACAAGCAAGAGCAAAGCAAAAACACTTGTGTCTGCTCTCCCCACCCCTTTCACAGGCAAGAGATGGCTTCTTATGCAAGAGATTCTTCCACTCCTTACTAGGAATGCATCTTTTGCATTTCCCCTCCTGCCTTTTTCCCCACTGGAACACTCCAGGCCCTCAATAGGCTCCTACATCTCCCAAGCATCAGCAAAGGACTTTCAGCAGATTTAGCCCCTGCCAAGAATTTTTTCCTCTTGGCAGATTTCATTTTTCAACTACTAGACAGGGTCTTTATCTGAAAGGGAAAAGGTTGACTGACATTTTAACAGTAATAGATATGAAAAGATGTGTGACCCTTCTTGTGCGGAACTGCAACATGCTGGATGCTGTGGCTGGAAGAGGGTCTGCGAGCCACAGCAGTTGCTTTCACACTTTCTTTGCCCCGTTTCCTCTTTACGGCTCAAATCTATATGCTATGGGGTGGAGATTGCAAGCCAACATTTGTCATACAGTTGTTTTCTTTTGCACTGAAAAATATTCAAAGTCAGATGGCCACCTTCCGAATGGGATTTGGTGTTAATGTTTGAGCCAAGGTGGTCACTGTGATGACTACAGCACATGCAACAGAGCTATTGCAGTCACAAGACTTTTGGGTGAGGGCAGATCTGTCCTTCCCAACAAATGCATGAGCAAGAGTGCCCTCCTGGTGTCTGGCACAAATCTCTGYTGTCCCTGCCAGGTGTGACACATATAGCAGACCTAAAGAAAGAATTCAGCCCCTCAAAACTATCTTCTTCCAAAGCTGTGCTCCTGAAAACCACAGTTCAGCTGTTTCCTCACGTAAGAGGCATCAGAGATGCATCATTTCTTTACAAGAAAGACCCAAGGGCTTCTGCATACAGCACCTCAGCATCTGTTTCATGTCCTGAGCATCCTAGTGTGCCAGAGGAGGACAGATCCCGAGATCCCCCAGTTCTCCAGGGAGGATYTTGCAGCCACCCACCAGAGCTGTGCACAAGCACCCGTCCCAAACGCCACCGAGGGTTTTGTTGGGCAGAAACAGGGCAAAAACGCGTTTCCTGCACCTCTGCTGACTGAACAGCTCTCGTAGGCAGCTGGCCGAAAGGAAGATTGGCCAACGCGGTTGCAATACTCGAGCTACAGAAATAGCATTGCCCAAGTCTCAGATGTTTTTTTATGGCTCTGCTTTATCAAAGCTTCGTTTTTAAAACCAGCTCATTTTAGTCTTGTGCTATTGCCCGAGCAGCAAGCACTGAACTGCAGCAATTGCTCAGAAACTGACTTTTTTATAAAAGAAATACAAGACACTGACTCCCTGATTTCTTTAAGCTTTTTCCTGCTCCACAAACCCACCTTCCCTTGGACATCCCCATTTCAAAACCAAACTCTGTTGAGGCCACAGGGACAGCCTCAGCCCATTCAAACCCAGCTTTTCTGTTTCATTTTCAGGTTTCACTAGAGCTCCCCACTAAGCTCCCCTGAATAGAAGATGTTTCCCCTCCCAAACACGATGAATTTGAAGCGGTCCCCCCGCTGCCTTTGTGGTGCAGTTCATGTGCTCTGGRTCCTGGGGACCATCTGCCTCAGCCTCGCTCCAAGCAAATGCTGATTCAAAGCTGTTTGTTTTCATATTTCTTGAAATCCATCATCTTCACAGTTGCAGGCCTTAAATCTGAARCAAGGGAATATTATTGACACTTGAAGGCCTGTATAGAGCAAAGGGGAGTAATCCAGGCAGATATATGTGTCCACCCGGGATCTGCCTCATTTAGATGGTATTGCATGTAGATCTTTTTCCAGACGTCCTGTGGTGCACATCAAGTGATCTAGGGCCAATGACTTCAGCACTCACATGAGGATTACTCATCTAATTAGGGGGTTTGCAGGCTCTGCCCCTGTGTTTCTGTGCACTGTTAATGTCATTGTACTGGATTGTATAATATTTGTCATTTAAAACCTGGCTCTAGGTTTTTTTTCCCCCCTATTCTTTCACTGGTGACTTTTATGGTCAAATGTATCACTTGCGACACAAATAAGCTGTTCCCTATATACAACAGCAGTAAGTTTAGGCCATAAACAGTCAGAGTCTTCACAGCATTATTATCTAAGGATGCTGAAAGGGGAATCTTTGTGAAAGGGAACGACCTGGGTGCAGTCACAGTGTCCTTCCCAGCTGGTTGGTCCAGCAGTCGCTTCCCTTGCCTTGGTTGTGGCAGAGCTGCTGCGGGACAAAGGCCCCGGTGGCTCCGGGCAGGGCGCTGGGACACCCCTTGGTGCCCGGGTCACCCTTGGTGCCCGGGTGACGCCAGCCTGGCCCGAGCGGGTGCTTGAACACCCGAGCTGGGGCTTTCCTGACAGCCCCTTCCAGGGCGGCACTACCGGCTCTTCCCCAATTCCTCTTCCCTAATAGTGAGCAGCTCTTCCCTACTTGCTGCCCTGAAGCTCCCAAGCTGCCATTTGCAGCCCGCGCCTCATATACCATAGTATGAAGTAYGGTATCGCCTATACCACAGTATACTATAGTATGTAGCACAGGGTATAGCCTATGGGATCGGGGGAAGAAGGTCGATCTGCCCTCCTTTTACTGCACTGGGAGAGCGGAGTTGCTCCCAGGCCCCTGGCAGGAGGGACACAGGGATTCATGGAGCACTCCCAGGGCCTGCGTGGGGAAAGACGCGCCAGATGTGCCCCCTCCCCTCCAGATGTGCCCCCTCCCCTCCAGATGTGTCCCCCCCCCGCCAGCTGTGCGGGCGCGGCTGACGCAACCACAACACCACCACGTGGCCGCGCGCGGCCCTTCCCCGCCGCCAGCCAATAGCGGCCGGCACCGCCCCGCCCGCGCCGCGCCGATAGGCCGAGCCACGGGCCAATGTGGGGCGGAGGGGCGGGCTCGCGGCGGCTCGCGGGCCAATGGGCGGCGGCGCCGCCGTGGCCGTTGCCGTGGCGGCCGCGGGGCCCGAGGCGGAGCCGCCGCCGCTCCCGCTCCATGGAGGCCGCGGGCCGGGAGCCGGGCGGCCCCGCGCCGCTCACCTGCTTCTCCTACAACCAGGACTGCACGTAAGCGGGCACGGGGGGCGGGACGGCGACCCCCGCACGGCCCTCCCCTCCGGCGCCGCCCCACGCGGGACCGGCCCCACGCGAGCCCCCCTTTCCCCCCCCGGCCTCTTGCCCCTCGCCGGGCCCGGCCCTGTCCTGGGGGGAACCCCCCGTTCCCCTCTTCCTGCACTGGCTCTTCCCGCATTCACGGGAAGCGATGCGTTTTTCTTGCATTTCTGTGGTTTTTGTTTTTCCTCTCCCCCTGTCACCTCCAGCTCTTGGTCAGAAACTGCCCCTCTTCCTCCCCCCGCAAAGACCCTTCCTGGCTGCCTTATTGGGGGCCCAGAAATAACCCCCCGGCTGCCCCGGGCCTCCCGTGGAGGCCRGATGCATCTTGGCCAGGGCTTCTCTCCATCACAGCTGTTTTTTTTCCAAGCGGGATGGCCCTGGCACAGCCCGCAGGGCGCCGGGATGAGATCAGCGGGGCGGGCAGCGGTGCCTCCCACCTGGGCAGGCCCTTGGCTCCACGGAGCCGCTTCCTGCCCCTTCCTGGGCGTCCACRCAAGGAGCAGCCCAAGGGCGGCCGTGGGAGCCACGTCTGGACCAGCCGCAGACCCCGACGTGGCCGCTTGTTCCAGCTGGGCAGGAGCAGAGGCTGCTCCCGGCACCGTGTGCCCTGCGCAGCCCCCAGCAGGGCAGGTTTCCATGTGAATGGATCTGCCCACGGCTCAGGATACAGCCCCTTTTCCAGCTCTCCAGGCACCCGCAGCCCAGAGGGCTCATCTGCAGCCAGCAGCTGGAGGAGGGTCCATACGTTCCTATAGGGTCATGCACCCAGGTGCTGCTTTGGCACCTCACTGTGTGTAGGCTGAGGTAGGGCAGGATGAGTTGACTTACTCCATTAACCACCTTAGCTCGAGCGCAAGCGGAGGCTGAAGTTGCCCCTGCACAGATCACTGTGCCAGGAGCCACCTGCGTCCCTTATCTCCCACAGCTCCTGCTGTAACCTGGAAGCAGCGAGAACTGAACTTGCTGACTCTTGCCTTATCTTTACAGCTCCCTGGCAATTGGAACCACAACTGGATACAGGCTTTTCTCCTTAAGCTCTGTGGAGCAACTGGACCAGGTCCATGAAAGCAGTAAGTCTCCCATTTTACTGCACAGAAATATTGGCTGACAGCTCTTAGCTGCACTATTGCCCTTCTCATTTGCCTCAGGGGAGCTATTCAGCTCACTGCTATTACACAGATGGCATCTGCTTCTGCTGCGCCATAGCAGGAGAGAAACTGTGCCCGTTGCTGCACCAYGCACAAGGGCCTTTGATGCAAGCTACAGCCTTGGAGAACCTTCCTAACCCCCAGCAGTATTTTAACAAATTTGGAGGAGTCCCACAGATTTAGAGCTCTATCACTTTGGTCTGAAAGCAGCAGTCTGACCTGCTCACACAGGGCTGCTCTGCAGCGTTTACTGCTGCCATGTGTTGGATACACGTACAGGAGACCTTAGGTCCCCACTATCACACCAGATAACAGGCCAGCTTTGGGCCCAGTGTGGTATTTGCAAGAAATAAGTTTTTGAACAAGTTTCCCATGTAAAAAGGATTTTAGTTCTGCTCAAAGCAGCATGTAATGCACTTAGCCTCATAAGCCATACCTCACAGAACTCACACTCTGCTCTGGTTCAGAGCATCACCAGGCTCAGACTTACCCCAGCCAAGACACAGTGACACGAGGGAGATGCCAGTCTCTCCCCACAGGTTATGGATGAAGCCTGGGCAACGAGGCACAGCTGCCTCTGGAGCAAAGTTCAGACTCCTCTCTGCCTCACRACGTAGCTCAGCAACTACATAGCCATGTTTTAAAGCTGCTCAGGAGTTTGGGTTGCCCCCAGAGCCCAATCAGAGAAACAAATCCCTGCTAGTGACACATGCAGGCTGATGAATTGAGACTCAGGCAGTCCCTCTGGGCCTCCAGTAAGGGACAGCCCAAGCATCCAACAGTTTGCAGCTATCTGTGCTAGAATTCCTGGATGATTTAGGGAACGGGCTCACAAGGACCACTGTAATGGGGCTGCACCTCAGCCCAATGGTCTCTGCCACACACATCACACCAATGTTCACCACAGCCAGCAGCCATCCTGGCGCTCCCTAGAAACCACAACTGCAGTAACGGAGAGGGGAAAAATGCATCTTTGCTAGGAAGGCTGGGAGAAATCGGGGACTACGCAGGAAAAACAAAACAACAAAATAATTTACAGAGTTGCTCCTTACCTCCAGGAGGCCAGGCTCATTTGCTGCTTCCAGGAAGATCCCTGACCAGGCTGCTTAGGACACTCATTTCCTTTGATAAGGATGAGCTCTTCCTCTTTATATCCTGTTCCCAAGGATTAGCTACAGCTGGGGGGGCCTGGCCAAGGAGATCCACAACAGGGCTGTCAAACGGGCTGGCTTAAGTTCTGCTTCCAGGGCAAGTCCATTAACTCCTTCCTCCTTTGACCTAGGTGCTTTGTGCCAGATAGTGGTAATTTTTAACAAAAGCAGATACTGAGCAGCTTAGCAGTGAACCTTTCAGGTGGATTCCCTCCTGAGCTGTCTCACTTCTCTTTACAAACAAACCTGCCATGTTCCAAGCTGAAAACTATTTTACTCTCCTCCTGTACCTAGATGAAATCCCAGATGTTTACATCGTGGAGCGCCTGTTCTCCAGCAGCCTCGTGGTTGTGGTCAGTCATGCCAAGCCACAGCAAATGAATGTCTACCACTTCAAGAAAGGGACAGAGATCTGCAACTACAGCTATTCCAGTAATATTTTGTCCATCCGGCTGAATCGTCAGGTAAGAGGCTACAGAAATTGGCTAGCCAGYGTTGTCCCACTTGGTGCTTTTGCTGGTGCTGGTTTGTGGTCACTGTGAGTCCTTGTTTTCCCAACAGTTAAACAAAGCTTCTTATTGTTTGCCTTCCTGCCTTTTCAGCATGCAACTTGGCTTTAAAAATACCTTTTCATCCTCTTTTCCCTGTTGCATTCCAAGCCCTGACTTTGGGTTTCAGCCCGTCTCTGCCACCTCTCTTTGGTTTCAGAGGTACAAAAAACGTTCAGGCCACCTTGAGAAGTTTTTAAGGGCTCTTTCTCAGAACTGACACAGTCTTGTGGCAGCCATGAAGCTTTTTTGGAGGATTTTATGTCATCTTTTCTTTTTGTCTGTAATTATTTTCAAAGTGTATGCCATAAGGAGCGGAGGACATTCTACAATGAAGAAATAAGCAGTTTGTATAATTGTATGCAATCAGCCTCTCCTAGCTTAGCAACAGTGGATCCTGTAGTAAGACTCTCCCATAAGGAAAATGGGTTGAATTTCCAGTAAAACCATATTTGTCCAGAAGTTCCTATACTACAATTAAATTTGTGCTAAATTGATTTCTTTCCCCTGAGACTTACAATGCAGCTGGCAAAATATGGACTTCCCCTTAATTGCAAATAGGGGTGTCCTTGTGTGTGTGTGTGCACCGTGGTTTGTCTCAACGCTGGGAAGAAGGCTGCTCTGTAGGACCAGGGAGAAGCCTCTCTGGGTTTGGCTTCACCGGGCTGCAGTGAATTCCTGCTCAAGAATTCCTGCTGAATTCTTGGAGAAGTTTCCTTTTTTTTATTTTTTTGGCTGCCTCCACACCCAGTGCGTTTAAGTCATCAACATACAGATCAAGTGTTTAACTTGGCTGACATCTGAGTGAAATTTTAAAGAGAAATACTGATGAGCAGTTGTGTCGTGTACAATGTGTAGCTGTTGCAGCATCCTCTGCGAGTTTCAGTCAAAAAAGAGCAAGGATAAAACCCACTCCTCAGCTCAGCATGTTTTACATGATGTTAGTGTGGGCTGTGGGACTCCATGGAAGGCAGAGGATCAACCTTCTTTACCACCCTAGGGCTTGATAGCCTGTTCTCCCTTCCTGTCAGTTGTGGCTCTTCCTGGATTTTGTCCCTGTTGGTGCCAGCGCCTCTTTGGTGCTTTGCTGCCATCTGAAAACCTCCCTGCACGTGTTCAGCAGCAGCAGCAGCGTGTTTGGCAGTTCTGGGAAAGCGGCTGGTAGCTCTGCTGAAACGGSCTGCATAAATATGACTGTCATTGACAGTCTCAGTTCACGGGTTGAGGGCTGTTACTGTAGAAAGGGAAAAGCCTTCCTGGAAATGCARAACGGCTCTGACACAGCCCCAGATGCTGTGGTTAGCAGGAATAGAAGTGGGAAAGGGTTTCATCTGAGCAGGAATGGCGGAGCGAGGCAAAGATTTTTCTAATGTGGGTGTTTCAAGTTAGCAACTAAATTTCCACATTTAGATACTAAATAAGTGGCCTCATTTCTAAAGAGGCGGAGGCTTCAAGTCCAGGGGTTTGGGTGCTTCAGCTTCAGGATCCCAGAGAGTGTCAGGCCTTGCATTGGATATTTTCAGGGCTTCTGAAAGCACTTTCACTTAGAAACACTCTATCCATCTGCTCACATGGTGCAAATACTAGATGTGAAACATGTAGCCACATGTCAGTTTGTCCATTGTAACCAATTGTCATTAAGAACAATTGCCAGGGTATCACTTGGATGCATCTTCCTGTTCCTGGGAATGTGGTAGAGCAGAACTGAGGAGTAGCAGAGGAGTTGAGATTTCCTATCTGCTTCCCAAAACCTGAGCAGGTGCAGGCAGCTCTCAAAAGCAGGGCCGTGCAAAATCCCAGGCTCTCCAGCAAGGACAGGGGTTGGAGCAGAAGAGACCACCGTTTTGCTGCATTTCAGTGTGTCCAAAATCCCTGTAGAGCTTTTCAGGCGGTGAAGATTTGCTTGTGTGAACTGTGGGAGGGCAGATAGGGGCACTGCCCTCGTACTGAAGTTATGTGCGTGTCCCTTGTGCTCTTGCAGAGGCTGATTGTTTGCCTGGAGGAGTCAATTTACATCCATAACATTAAGGACATGAAGCTTTTGAAGACTATTCTGGATACGCCTCCAAATACAACAGGTAAGTGCAGGAGACTGGGTGAAAGGCAGAGATCAGCTCTGCAGAGCCACAGCGTGAGGCGTGAATTGAAACCAGCCTGTGGTTTGTGTATTCTTAGCACAATTAATTCAGGGCTGTGGAGCCAGAACCATAGGAGGAGGTCAGTCTGGCTCAGAAGAAACGCTGCTCTGTCCTGAGCAAATGCCTCAAAGGAGAGCTAAAACAGGCGGCATAGTTTGATTTCACCTCCCAGGCTYGTGGGTTCTCAGTGCCGCTCACAGCTTCATGGAATGTGCCTGGATTCTCCGTTGAAAGAGCAAAGCTCTGAGGCYGGCCAGGGCCACAAGTTTCCTTCCACACGTAGGGCAGCTTGAATATTTTCTTTGGGGCTTCCTTCCCCTTCCTTCCGTGTGTTTGGTGTCCGTCCCTGGCGTCTTAGCAATGTGGACACAGGAGCCCTGCTTCCCTGCGCTGCTGGCATGAGTCAGCAGCCGGGGCCGTGGCACAGGGTGACGCTCCTTGCGGGCCTCTGGCTTCACCAGGATCTCCTGGCTGTGGACACGCTAAGGTAGAAAGCCCCTGTACTTGCCCCTGTGCTTGGGGTTGGCTCCCAAGGTGATCAATGCCGTGAAGAGCACCCAGAAAAGGCAGCCGGGGGCCCCACAAATCCCACCGTGTCTCCGAGCGAGCTCTGCCGGGAGCTCCCGGGAGCCTGGGCTGCCACCTGATCCCGTTCCACGTATATGTGAGGAGCCCAGGGGGCAGGGCAGGTGGCTGCAGAACAAATCCGTGCTGCGCGGCGGCGGGTGAATCCGGCTCTCCCGTTAATGGGAGAGGAGCTATTTTTGGCCGCAAGGAGGGCAGCTTGGCCGAGCGCCCGCGGCGGCCGCCTGCGCTCTCTGCTAGCCGGGCCGCGGGCTGCAGCATCTCGGCAGCGCTGCTTGCTCGTGCAGTTACTGCTCTGCTCACGCCTGGCTTCCCAGCTTTCACGGGACGCAGCTCCTGCCCTGACCTAGTTCAGGTCCTAACAGATGGTCTCTTCATGTGGATTAAACATACTGAATGCTGCAAATATAATTAAAGTTTAAAACCTTCCAGCGCAGGCAAGGAGGGGACACCCATGCCTGGAGCTGTTCTGCAGCAGGGCAGAATGATCTGGTCATAGCTTAAAAGCAGCAGCAATCAGCAGTTGCTGGGACATGACCGGGTTCTTGCGGATCACAGGACTTCATACGAACTTAATATTTTAAAACTCCTTTGCTGCTGCAGCAGCTGTCGCTGGAACGAGGCTGGCGGGCTGCTCTGCTCTGCAGCCGGGGGGAAGGAAACGAGGCCCCGGGGCTGCGCGGGGCTCCCTGCGGCACCGGAGCGTCTGCAGCCCCAGGATGGGCAGGAAGGCTCCTCTCCCCAGTGCAGCCCAAGGGAGGGCTGCGGCCGTGCCTGGATGTGGGTGCCACGAGGGCACCGCTGCGGGAGCAGGCAGGGCGCTGTGCCAGTCRCGTCCCTGCCGCTCTGCTCCCCGAGCGGCTCCTCCAACAGCCCCATGGCCCATTTCTGTTTAAAGCTGGGAGTCCTGGTGCCAGCGACTCCCAAGCCAGAGGCCTCGTTTCCTGTCATCCCCCCGGCTGCAGATCCAGCAGGACCTGCTCCTGTTAGAGCAGGAACAACCCTCTGCAATGCTCAAGCCACTGCCGAGGTGCTGTCCTGAGCAGCACCAGCACCAGGGCTGTTGCTCTCCTGCCTCCCGCACTGCCCCGCGCGGGGCAGYGTCTGCAGAGGCTCCCCGTCGGTGTCCCCGGAGCTCCCTGCGCATCCCCGAGGTCAGCTCAGGCCGCCCGTGTTTGTTTTCCCCGGCTTTTCCGTTGGCCTCTTCCAGGCGGGAGTGGAGCAGTGGGTGAGTCACAGCCCGGCCGGCTCCGCGCGCTGCTCCGCTCCAGCTCTCTCCTCCTTGGGATGCGCCGCTTCCCACGGGGAAGGCCCCGCTCCACGTGAGCCCACGTGAGCCAAGCACCGGGTGCCCTTGCCCGTCCCCTCAGGGCAGCCGCCCCTTGGGCTGTGGGCTCGCAGGAACGATCCCAGCCCTCCGTTTCCTTATAAACAAGGACCCGAAGCCGGCGCCTGGGCTGCTCCGCCCCGGCTGGGCCGGCGCCAGGGCAGTGTCTGACTGACGGGTGCAGCAGCGGCACCAGGGAGAGCAGGGAAGGGAGCCCCGGTGGCCTCGGGGACGCGCGTCTCAAGTTCAGGTTCCTCATCCATGGCGCTCGTTTCCCTCCCTGCTCCTGTTCCCCTTTTGCAGAGCAGGAAAAGGTGCTGCCGGGCGGGCTCCGCAGCGGGGCCGTGCGCTGGAGCTGACGTGTCCCGCTGTGTCCYGCAGGGATCCCGCTGGCCCCGCGTGTGCCCTGCAGAGCTCCGTGCACCTCGGGGCGCAGGAGAGACCCCGAGGCCAGCACGATGCCGGATCCCGGCTCTTGTTCSGCACGGT